CTCGGGCCAGGGCACCCGCCTTCCCCAGCGTAACCTCCCCGCGCTGCTTCCCTCCTCCGCCACCGCCACCACCGTGCTCCACTGACGCCCTTCACCTCAAACCATCTGACCCCCGGCCCTGCGGTGAACCTGACCGGGGAATCCCGCTCTCCTCCGCCCGAAATGTGGGTCCTATGTCCCCCCCCCATCCCGCCTCCTTACGGCGTGCTCTCCCCCGGCTTGGACTGGTACTGCAGCTCCCTCTCTGCTCGGCTTCTCTAACCGCGGCAGGGAGGCAGCAGTGAGCCGTGCGGGGGAACATCCTCTGTCCCTGCTGGCAAGGTCTGCCCGTCTTGCCTTAATTTTGCTGCTCGTTTATTTCATTAATATCCCGCCTTACTGCAAATACCCTCCCAAGCCATTTTTTAACGTCCTGGTAAAGAAACCCGGGAAATTTCCCCCCCCCCCCCCCCCCCCGAAAATGTATTTCAAATCCCTTTAAGGATGATTACGAGCAGAACGTCACACAAGCTAATGAAATTAAGGAAACGTCAAATTAAAGAGTGGCCTTTGATTGTGTTTCAACAAATATAGATCTCATTAGCTGTCTCACTGAGAAAGTGTATACCTCCTTACCCACAAGGAATATTCAGCTTCCAGAAAGAAATCTGCTGTTTTCAAAAGAGTTACTTAGCTTACACAAGAGTGCAATATCTTTCTTATAGACTTGACCCACAAATATGCAACAGATCCTCCACTTACCTAGGTCACACACGTAGAGACAAGATGTAAATTACTCTGAAGGGTTAGAGCTAACATTTTTTATTACGGGGTGAGCTTAATATTTTATCTGTTAGAGGTGAAAAGTGAAGGTGTAAGTATTATCACCCTTTCATTCAAAACTGCTTTCTTACTCAAAAAGAAAAACTCCCTTTCACTAAGATTTCCTAATTCTTAGGGTCCTCATCAGTCTAATTCTGGGCTTATTAACATCACTGTAAAAATCCTCTTGTGAAGATGCCCATGCTACTAATCATTGCGCTGCTAGGAGGAATTGCTCTGCATGGGAGAGAAGAGGAGAGAAGAGGAGAAGACTGAAGTTCTGAAAGGAGAGAAAAAATGACAAGGAAATACCATCAGTGAATGACCTCAGCTGAAGTGCTGCCAAGGTGGCTGATCACTTTTTATATTGGAGGTTGCACCTGAACTTCAGTTTCCATCTAGGCATACCCACAGATATCATATGCAGCCTCAACCTGAGCATCAGACTTCAGCCTATGGTAGAAACAAATCCCTGATCCTGGGCATACATGCAAGGCAAGGCACTGGAAAAACTGGAACTCAAAAGCATGTAAATTAAGGACACACTGAGAATTCTCTCCTAACACAGCTTTAAATTATCTTGAAGAATAAGGTCTATTGGAAAGAAAAGAAAGCAATAAAGACAAATAGATCAATCCACTCTGGAGTCTCCTAAACCTCGATGCTATTATTAATCACAAACAAATGTAAATGTTAAATAGCTAATGTAAGCTAACACAAGGCAGAATACAAGGCAGAAATATTTTTCATTCAACCAGCCTATTCTCAAACAGTTCAGGCACCTATAAGAAAATGGGGAGCAGGTTACTGTGCTTCCATCAGATGTTTTAAAAGCCCATCTACCTTTCAGCTCATGCAGTTTTTCACACTATATTTGCAGCAGAGCCTGCGAATGTTCCATTAGCTCAGCAAAAGCCAGCTGAACATCTACAGCATCTACTTACTCCCAGTAGAGCTTGCATAAGATGGAGACCACATATTCAGACAAACAGCTGTGATTTAAAACCATCAGGTATTCCAATCAATTTGGCTGATTATACATTTATACTCCTCTTTTCCATTCCAAACTGGTATCATTTGGGGAATTCCTTTGTAATTAAGATCTTTCCTCTATCCTGTATGTTTTTACAGCACTGGTTACCAGGAGAAATGTCATTGTCATTTCCTTACTATGTTTTTTTTTCAAAAGCAGTGTGATTTTCTATTCTGTGCTATGAAAAAAAAATGACACTCTTATGAGGCTTTAGCTCAGCATTCTTTCTCCTTCGCGTACAGACATTCACAACCCTGGGCTTTGCTTATACTGGGAAAATGAGCTGTTTTAGGAAATATACTAGCCAGCGCTTTAACTGCTGATAAACTGTGTTAGTCTAACTAGACACATTTAAAATCTCATGCACCTGGAGCATACATGCTGCCATCAGTTCAAACCACTGCAGTTGGTTGAAGAGACTACTGAACGTTTTGTCCAGCTCAGAACATCCAATGCTGTGTAGACCAATTCCACAATTACCATCAGTCTCCGACACGGCCAGATGAAAGGGCTCTGAGAGCATCCCCCCTCCTGAAGGTCTGGCACCCCAGGCTCAATGCCAACACATGCACGCACACACATACTCCAGAGATGCTTTCAAGCTGAGGCTGTAGAGCTCAGCCCCTGCCTGAGCTACAGCAGCACTGCAGCCATGCCTGTGCCTGTCCACAAGCCCCCTTTATCCAGACCCAGGCCATGACCCACAGACTGACTTCTTGGCCTGGCCTCCAACCTGCCTCTTTGCTACAGACTTGCCTGGTGATTACCAGGCTGTGTGTGACCCTGGTTACTGTTACCAGAACTGATCCTGACCCTGACTTGCTGACTCGCATTCCTAGCTTGACCACAGACCTGCCGCACCACCACAGACTTGTCTGGCTCCCTGGACTCTTGGCTGATCCTGGCCAACAAGGCTCCTGCTGTGCCAGTCGGCATCCCTTAGGGAGCAGCCAGCCTTTGCTGTTCCCTGACACCAGAGTACTCTGGTACAGGCAAGAATACCTAAATATTTCCACTAGCCCAGAACCACAGTCCATCTGGACCAGCATCTTGTCTCTTACACTGGCTGGTACCAGTTCTTTCTTCCAAAATATATGCTGCCATTCAAGAACAAGATCCAGGTGGACTTGAAAAGGGAAAACATGCTACTTATCTTTAACAGAGGGGTCAAGTAAGGAGCTATGAAGCAGCCAACTTCTGTTTGTTATCTGAAAAGACAATGAAACAAGCTGTTCAAAAATCGGTGTGCAAGCAACTAAATAACAAAAAAAGTGATGAGAAACAGGCAGTGTGGATTTGTCCAGAACAAATCATGTCAAAGTAACCTAATTTATTTTTTTACTAAGATACTGACTTGGTAGGGGGTGAAAGCAATAGATGAGACATATTTTGACTTTAGTAGGGCTTTTGATATTGCCTTGAATACCATCCTCACAAAGGCAACTACGGCCCAGATGGAATTAACATGAGAGGGGTGTGTGATTGAAAAGCAATACTCCAGATGTAGTCGTGGATAATTTCTTGTCAATAGGAAGGCATATCAAATTAGGAGATCTGATCTGCTAAGATTAACTACTTTCATTAGTGACCTGGATGATGAAGTTGATCTTTGACTTTAAACATCTGCAAATAACACTGAGTCAAGCAGTACTTCAAGCACTCTGCAGGCGAGGATTTGAATAAAATTATAACCTTTCCAAAATGCGAATAGGCTCTGGAAACAGTAAGATGAATTTCAACAAAGGCAAGCACAAAGTATTACATTTTGAAAGAAAATTTGAATTCTCAAATTCAAAATGAGGAAAAACATGCGTAGTCTTTGGTAGGGTACCAAAACGTATGTCAACTCAGGGCAAGGACTTGAAGAATTCCATAATTCTGCATTGGAAAGCGTGGACCACTTCTGTGTCATAAGGACAACACAGCTAGAGAGGGACAATGCACTGATACCACACACTGACCTCCTGATCTGAAATACACACAGCACAAAACAATACAGAAGTTATTAGTAGGTGCCAATGCTAGCTTGGTATGCAGAACACTAGTCTTGTGCCATCTGTCACATTGCTCTGAGTGACCTGGCATGGCCCAGGCATGTTTTTGCTCTGCCTTATCTCCTCCTGTTCCAAGTTTCCCTCAAGCCTCTACTCGCAGAGAGAAGATATGAGAAGCCAGACATGCTCCCCAGTCTCCTCCCTGCAGCTGGAGTCATTCTTCCTTCCTGTAAGTGCTAGAGGGCTGATGGCCATGTGGGGCCAGAGGGATCTGTGGGTCTGAAGAAAGCTGTGGGTGAGTAGAAAGCTGTATAGTTTAGGAGTCTAGGGCACTACAGGGTGCAGAGGGGAAACCACAAGTCTCCCAATGCCACTACTCCTTGAAGTCCCCCAGAAGAGGTCATCCTGTGTCACAGTAAGAAGCAAGAGGGAGTCACAAGAGCTTGGAGGTGACATCACGCAGGTCTGGTCTGTAGGACACGATACAACACTCCAGGCTGACAGACAAACATCGTGTTGTATAGTCCATCTTGCAGGACATCTCAGATGGGGGTTCTGCCCTTGCTGCCACCTCTTGGGACTCTGACAGAAGGCAAGGTGATCTGAACAGCGGTCTGCTTCAAGACAGACGCAAGAATCACTGACAATTGTTTTGTTTGTTCTTGGCAGAGATCACGCAGAGGCCCACAGGTTGAAATGATGGCAGAATGCAAGCTGAATCGTTCCGCTGGGCTTTAAAACAGCTTCTCCTCTATACAAGAAGAGAGACCCCAGGAAACATCTCTCCATTTTGAAAACAAAACTCCCAGTGGGGAAGCTTCTGTGGCCAGACTCAACACAGCCAAAGAATGCGGGTTGGCTTCATGAAATAGCAGCTTCTACAAGTTTGTTCGTGGTCTGAAAAACATTTCAAGCTACTTTCTAGCAGTGCTCTAGCTTCTCTGATGTAAAAGTGCATCCCTCTGCCCAAGGATTTGACATGTTTACCAAACATGTTTTCAACAGAAGAATGTACAAGGGGAAAGCAATGAGCGAGAGACCCCTAGCCTTTTCACAGCCCAGCGGTATCACGCTCACCTTGCTGAGAAGGTTAAGAATATCACCACATTTTTTGTATCAATATCATGGAAGACTCACATGACATATAGCGCATCAACTACATTCCATTTTGCTCCAGCCTTTCACACCCTGGAAAAAACACCTTTGGACTGAACTGAAAGATGAGAACATTCATCCCAAAGTTACGAAGAGCTAAAAATAAAGGTTCAGGACGGTCTCGCGTGCATCATCACATCACGACGCCCTAACGCTCTGGTGCTCCACGGGCACGGCGAGGGGTGAAAATGCCCCAGATTTGTCGGGCGAGTGGTGTTTAAGCCACCCGGATGCCATTATCACAGCCCCATCCACCAGCCCGCCACGTGTATGAAGATGCCAGCGCGAATTCCCATTGCATCCTTCACCTTTCAGCACAGGGGGGGAAAAAAGCTCCCTGACGACCAGCCGCGGGGCAGGGCGAGCGTTTGAAGGCCGAGGGCCGGACACACGGAGGAGCCCCTCCGCCCCGGGGCCAACCCCTGG